GTAACTTGTGAGTTCCACGTCACTGATCCAATATGTGAGATAATTCAAGAGATTTAATTCACTTATACCTAGTATTGTAGTTAACGAGAACACAGGCGAAGATAACCAAAATTATTATGATATAACATTACAGATTATCCATCAATTGTTTCAGACTTTGTTATTTCTTCGTTTCCATACTAATCACTCTCTATTCTCATTCTCTTCTCTTCAATTTTATTAACCTTCTACCTCTTGGCAATCCACTTTCGATTGGTGGTACATACTACTTATATCTGTCGATATCAGTAATACACATCACATAGTATTATATCGTTTGACTGACTAAAGTAAAATTCGATAATTAGCATTTTCAGCCTTAATCACTTCACAATATAACACAAATTATTTGATTTCGGAATAGTAATTGAATGATTTTATGTTGACTGGAAAATCTAAAAATGTTAGGTAAGTGGTTTTGAGAAATCTTCTACAAGGACGAAATACAGTTTGTCATTTCAGTTTAATTTATTCTCGAATAATCAAAACGGGAATTTGTGGAGATTGTAGTAATTTTAATAGTTGAATTCATTAATTGATCTAAGCTAGACCGACGTTGAAAACCTGGAATCACTGTACGACCGTTTCATCCTAATATGGAACTAATCAACAGTGCGCATCCATGTTACTGCATGAGGGACGCGAACTCAGAACTTTCAATCTTGCATGTAAACGCTAAAATTGTTGACCATCGAGACGGTATCCAACGGTATTAATGTCTAACTTCAATCAACCCATAATCTTTTACAACCCTTCATTCATTGCCTGAAGTAGATAACTGTCTCCACTTGACATGGATTGAACTCCACTGATTATGGCTTCTTACTAGAACTTCAAGAAATTCATCTTGAAGCCAGTCACCAAATACACACATGATGATTATGATCAGAATGGAGATTTTGTGGAGATTGTAGTAATTTTAATAGTTAAATTGTAAAATAGTTAACCGAAGGTTAATGCAAAAAAGAAAGGGTAATCATATCTACCTATGATTAATTATCAGGAATTTTCTGTGAATTATGAGTCATCCAAACTCCGCCTGGAGTCCCTTTGGAGGTTACTGCCGGTCCCAAGTCCAGATAAAGGAGTAGGGTTGGACATGGGGTTAGGGACCTCATCCCGTAGAAAACTAACTCGTTAAAAAACAACGCTAACCAGAAAAAATTATTCAATTATGTAATGAGTCATCCAAGTGTTAGTGTTAATCACATATATATTGTGTGAAATGATTTTTGTCTATTACTTAAGATGAAAAAACGAATCACTAAGATGTTTTCAACAAGATTTTTGACCAAAATCACGTACAATTTTCATATAAAAATAAAGTAAATAAAGAGTCTAGACAATCTATGTGACTTTAATACAATCGAGTGGTACACTTAAACTGTTTAAACATTCTGATGTGTATTAAAGGGGTTAACAATGTTAAATGATGAAATGAGTCCATGACCAATTATTGTGTGTAGAATTCGTTTAATTTCTAATTGAAAGGGTCAAATCGCCACTTTCTTTCGATGTAGTAGTGTTGGTAGTAGTAGTAGTAGTAGTACAAGTAGTAGTAGTAGTAGTAGTAGTAGTAGTAGTAGTAGTAGTAGTAGTAGTAGTAGTAGTAGTAGTAGTAGTAGTACAAGGAGTAGTAGTAGTAGTAGTAGTAGTAGTAGTAGTAGTAGTAGTAGTAGTAGACACACCGTATTATATAATCAAACCAATGACGCATAAACTAGTATGAGTAGCCTATAGATCTTATTGTTCCACCGAGATAGTAGCTTCTCTCCTATGTAGTATATTGTACACTAATAATTCACTCTGATCTTTCCTTTCAATCTACATAGTTAATTTATGATTACTGATACCTAATTTATTCTAAGTTTTTAAACTTTATGGCAATTTGCATGGTTAAATGAAATAAACTCCAGGTAGCTAATACTATGGGTTGGAGAATGCTTATCGGTGGCTTTTGCTCCATTGGGAGTAACAGGTGTAAGTAAGCTAATACTAGATTTATTGTTGAACTGATCTATGCATATGATCAGAAAAGGGGTTTTGTGGAGATTGTAGTTAGTTAATAATTACGTTTATGAATCAATCAAAGCTAGATCACCATGGTAAACCTAAAAGCACTGAACTATAAAGAAGTGATCTATAAATGTCAATGGTTAGTTCTGATTGGTTCATTTGTTTATTGTATAAATATTGTGTTTATTTTATATTTTATCTAATAATGAATCAAATGTATACACACTGTGTAATAGAGATCTTAATCTATCTACTTAGTATTTCATAATCATTCGAATATATTCATTTTCTTATTACTTACATATGCCTGTTACTCGTAATGGAGCATAAGCTGCCTGGAGCCCCCCAGGGGCTACTGCCGATTTCAAGCCCAGATAAAGCAGGAGGGTTGGGCATGGGTTTAAGGACCCCATCCCATAGAAATCTAACTCTCTAAAAAGACGCTAACCAGAAAAAAGATAATTCATATTCTTATAGTAATCACTCAATGTTAATGAAATTGATAAATAATTAAGTTTTATATTAAATGGAAAGTTTTTTTTATGGTCAATTGTACTACTAAACATCAATGAGAAGATTGAAGTAAACAATATCAAGTGAATCCTATTGCACAAGCAATTGGCTGTCAAGATTCAATGGCTAAGTAGATGATGCGATGCCGTTTGAAGCAAACGATACTGGGTTCGAGTTCCAGAGTGAACATAATCTCTAATATGCAAGTACATTCAGCTGACGAGCCTCAAAAATAGGACGAAACACTCGTCCTGGATCTCACTACTAACCACTATAGATCTTTGATTATATTCAAAACTTCATTTATTTTTCAAATTTTTAACTTATCCATTAGTAATATGAACTCCTATAACTAAACACTCATTATTGTCTAAAGTGATAAGTTGCTAGAAATGAAATCCATAAAGTTTATTTTATCCTATTTGATATTAATCAGATAGACAGATCTGGATCTTGATAATGATGTTCATTATGAAATCTAGATCTATTGTTTATCACTGCTAATATCAATATGTTTACCAATAGGCTACTTAGTTATGAAATCCATGACATTCCTTAATAGATATGATATACAATATGATGATATATAAATGTATCTACATTATTATAAACCGTGTAAAGTCAATATTATCTATCATTTGGAATGATTGATTTCTGTTGTATCTATCTTTCCTTTACTCCACAATGATATGCCAAAAATATGGTATCTATTAATGAATTAGACAACGTTATCTGTTTTAAATAAGAAAAAGGGGGGGGAAACATTTCCATCTGTTACGACATAGATGCTACCAAATTGTGCTATTTGTAAATTAGAAAGGTCATTCAATAAAGGTCAGAACTGATTTACAGTCAAGTGTCCAATCTCAATTAGTATAATAGTAATGTAATGAAATTGTGTGAATACAATGCATAGTAGGCGAATTTCATCTTGTTAATTGATGTAATAATGATAATAACAATCGTATTAATAATAATAATAATAATAATAATAATAATAATAATAATAATAATAATAATAATAGTAATATCGTTGTCTGAATATAATATGTAACAAGAGGGGTGTTATCAGGGTAATTATGATTTTAAAAAAAAAGGTATCATGTGAATTGGGGGGGAAGATAAATGTGAAGATTAAGATAGATGTAATGAAAAAAAAATAAAACGGGAAGGGGGTAAGAAGTATTTGGTAATCTAGTCATAGGCCAAGGTAAACATAGAGGCTGATATATCTGGATATATAAGTTCGGTTTAATGGAGTTGATTCAGATGGTTTTGACTATGTAGGGTAGCCGTAATCTAGCTCCTTGAGGTAGATTTTTTCGGAGCTTAGTATAAAATAGAGAAAGATTCATCTATATTGATATGATGTTCACTATCTACTAAATGAGAAACAATAGTACTGTTGATCGATTTAACAACTCCTTTTCCAACCATGCTGGTACATAATGACAAACACTCAAGAATAAAGTCCTCTGAGTACAGCCTATGTAACTAACTTCACAGGAGCAACTGAATTAGTATACACACATAGAAGAGCGCATTATTGGTAACCTATCCTTGATTAGTTGTGTAAATACTGGTTTAGTTGAGAAAATTATATATAGCTTAGTTTAAACAAGTTGGTGGTATCATTAAACATCACATACGAATACATAAACTTACTTACGCCTGTTATTCCTGATAGAGCATAGGCCACCGACCAGTAGTATCAAACCCACTCTGTCCTGGGCCTTCCTTCCTAGTTCTATCCAATTCTTGTTCATCATTCTCATATCTGTCTACATTTCTCGGCGTAATGTGTTGTTTGGTCTTCCTCTTCTCCTTTGAACTTGAGAATTCCACGGCATGGCTTGTCTTGTAACACAGTTAAGTGCTTTCCTTAATATGTGTCCCATCTACTTCCAGCGCTTCTTCCTGATTTCTTCCTCCGCTGAAATCTGGTTTGTTCTCTCCAACAATAGATTGTTACTGACTGTCTGGCCAATTGATCCGAAGTATTTTGCGTAGACAAAATACATAAACATAGCCATATAAGTGAATAAATAAACCTGTACTTAGTAGAGATAAGCTTTAAAGTTTATTATCTATCTTGATCGACAATACATGCACACACTTACAATGTCATCTCTATCATTTCAGCTTATTTAATAGTCATACTATACTCCTTAAATAACATAATCAAACCTTAACGTTTCCTGTCACTACTTATACTTTCACTACTCTGCCACTACGGGATTTGAGACGATAACTGAATCTTTGTGCTAATGTGGTATGGTAACTCGAACTGATGTACGTACGTACGAAGTTCCACGTTGTTACTGACTTACTGACTGACTGAGAAATATGTATTACAATATACACCTAATTTGAGTCCTTTAATTCCTGTCTATCCTTTTGTTTTCCTCTTTTACAAATTCATGTATAAATAGCAATTTGGAAATGGATTGTTACCTTTACTAACCAATGGTGATATCAAATTAATTTCAAGTGATCATTCTAACATTGATACAAATGAAAAGTTGAATAGTTTACAAACAATTAGACAAAGATTAATAACAACATGGAAAGCTGGTGTGGTAAGTCAATATAAAACCATATACATATATATTCATATGATGTAATATGACCATCAGATTTGTGAAATAAAGTTGAATGTTATCTGGTTGGAAGTGTTTGATACATAAACCTCACTTGATTTAGATTTAGTAATATTCATTTCATTTACGCCCGTTACTCATCGTGAAGGAGCATAGGCTTCTCACCAGCATTCTCCATCCAACCCTTTCCTGGGCAATCCTTTCCAACTCTTTCCAGTTCTTATTCATCTTTTTCATATCTGCTTCTATTTCCCGATGTAATGTGTCCCTTGGCCTTCCTCTTTTCCTTTTCCTTTTAGGATTCCAAGTTATGGCTTGCTTCGTGATGTAGTTTGACGATCTGTGTAATGTATGTCCTATCCATTTCCATCGTCTTTTCCTAATTTCCTCTTCAGCTGGAAGCTGGTTGGTTCTCTCCCACAAAAGGCTGTTGCTGAGGGTATCCGGCCAATGGATGTTGAGTATCTTGCGTAAATAAATACTTGTACCTTCTTGATGGTGGTTGTTGTAGTTCTCCAAGTTTCAGCTCCATACACTAGAACTGCCTTGACATTCGTATTGAAGATTCTGAATTTGATATTGACTGGAAGTTGTTTTGAGTTCTATATGTTCTTCAATTGAAGGAATGCGGCCTAGATTTAGTAATAGTTAGATATCTATTAGCAAGCTCTATCTGGGATCATAATGGAATAGATTCTCTCCTATTAATTCGAATCTAAGTCATCATGATTCCTATTTTGATGTTAATAATGATTCATTTAGACCGCTATTCATCTCTGATTGAAATATCCAAATCCATTATTCGCTGAATAATGATCAATGTTGTATTCGTTCAGTCCTTAACACAGGTCAAATTCTATCAATCACTTTATAATACTTACTTACTTAATTACTTACGCCTGTTACTACCAATGGAGCATAGGCCACCGACCAGCATTCTCCAACCCACTCTGTCCTGGGCCTTCTTTTCTAGTTCCATCCAATTCTTGTTCATTTTTCTCATATCTATCTCCATTTCCCGCGTAATGTATTCTTTGGTCTTCCTCTCCTCCTTCGACCTTGAGGATTCCATATGAGGGCTTGTCTTGTGACGCAGTTGGGTGCTTTCCTCAATGTGTGTCCTATCCACTTCCAGCGCTTCTTCCTGATTTCTTCCTCCACTGGGATCTGATTTGTTCTCTCCCACAGTAGCTTGTTGCTTATAGTGTCCGGCCAGCGGATCTGAAGTATTTTGCGTAGACAACTGTTAATAAACACCTGTATCTTTTGGACGATGGATTTCGTAGTTTTCCAGGTTTCCGCCCATACAGTAGAACTGTCTTGACATTTGTATTGAAAATTCTGACTTTGGTGTTGGTTGCTAATTGTTTTGAGTTCCAGATATTCTTCAGTTGTAGATATGCTGCTCTTGCTTTGCCAATCCGTGCCTTCACATCTGCATCAGATCCACCGTGTTCATCGATGATACTGCCCAAATATGTAAAGGTTTTTACATCTTCCAAAGCTTCTCCGTCAATTGTGATTGGATTGGTACATGTTGTGTTGTATCGAAGAATCTTGCTTTTCCCTTTGTGTATATTGAGACCTATTGCTGCTGAGGCTGCAGCTACACTGGTTGTCTTCTCCTGCATTTGTTGTTGTGTATGCGATAGAAGAGCCAGATCATCTGCGAAGTCTAGATCATCCAATTGCATCCTAGCTATCCACTGTATCCCGTGCATCCCTTCAGATGTTGATGTCTTCATGATCCAGTCGATCACCAGGAGAAGAGAAAGGGTGAGAGTAAGCAACCTTGCCTGACACCGGTCTTTACTTCGAACGACTTTGTCAACTGTCCTCCATGCACGATTTTGCAGTTTAATCCATCATAGGAATTCTGTATGATATTGACTATCTTCTGAGGCACGCCGTAGTGTCGAAGAAGCTTCCATAGGGTTGTTCTGTCCACGCTATCAAATGCTTTTTCGTAGTCGATGAAGTTGATATAGAGTGATGAATTCCATTCAATTGATTGTTCCACAATGATCCGTAGAGTTGCGATTTGGTCTGTGCACGATCTATCCTTACGGAATCCTGCCTGTTGGTCTCGAAGTTGGGCGTCTACGGAGTCCTTCATCCTGTTTAACATACCCTGTTGAAGACTTTTCCTGGTATTGAAAGAAGAGTGATTCCCCTGTAGTTGTCACAGTTGCTGAGATCGCCTTTCTTGGTATTTTGACTAGAAGTCCTTCTTTCCAGTCTTTTGGTACCTGTTCCTCATCCCAGATCTTTCTGAAGAGAGTTTGGAGTATCCTTGCAGTTGCCGCTTCGTCTGCTTTCAGTGCCTCTGCTGGAATGCTGTCTAGTCCTGCTGCTTTGCCACTCTTGATTTGTCTGATAGCCATGCTGATCTCTTCAATTGTCGGTGCGCCAACATCAATTGGGAGGTCCGTGAGTGCTGCTTCGATGTTGGGTGGGTTCAGTGGGGCTGGTCGATTCAAGAGTTCTTTGAAGTGTTCTACCCACCTGTTTCGTTGTTCTTCAATGTTGGTGATTATCTTGCCTTCCTTGCTTTTCACTGGTCGTTCTGGTTTACGGTGATTTCCAGAGAGTTTCTTTGTTGTTTCATACAGTTGTCTCATGTTTCCTTCTCTGGCAGCCTTTTCCGCCGTCAATGCCAAATCTTCCACATATTTACGTTTGTCAGTTCTGATGCTCCTTTTCACTTGCTTGATTAACCGAATTCGTACAAGGTTAAAGTCAATGGGAGGAGAATAATGGCTGTCTTTAGTACAGTTAAACAAACGACCACAGTAAAACAATCACAGGTAGAGTTGGTTATAATAATGATTGTTTCCATTAAACCAATCTCGTTGACAAAAATAGGTCACTACAAGACCATGAGACTAAATGTTTAATCTACACTCTATTTCACTTGAATATTCATCGAAATTATAAGAATACAAGATATGAGACTGTATGTGTTTCATTGAAAGAAATCAAAGTATCATAAATTATAAGTCTTGGCTACAAAAAAACACATATCTACTTAGCTGGTTTACGGCTTTCCATGTCAACACAAAGACATGGGTAATTCATATAATAAAGAGTAAATGTGTTGAAATAACAGTCGTAATGAAGTAACATTTTGTACATAACTAAATCAATGTACATTTAAACACTTAACATTTTAAGAAGGGGTTTTGTGGAGATTTTTTTAGAAATTTCACTAGTTGAAATCATCAGTCAATTGAAACTAGATCACCATGGAATACCTGGAAGCACTGGACGGCTGTTTCATCCTAGTATGGGATTCCTCGGCAGTGCGCATCCACGATCTTACCTCACGAGATTCGAACCCAGGATCTATCAGTCTCGTGAGCGAACATCTGATGATAGTTAAATTAGTGAACGCATTATTGATTGGTTGCATTGATATGCAATGATAAGATGTGAAGTAACAATAGCTGCTCATGAAGCTGGAATAATGATGTAACTCCTCTCTAATTGATAGATTATCAGAGGAGAAAACAGCTCCCCAGTAAAATAGGCTTTGGTATAATAAAATAATATGTTAATATACAAAATATTAACGAAAAAATAAGCATAATTTAACGTTGTAAGAGATTGAAGTAAATCAGATTTATGGGTCACTATCTCCCCCCAAACGAATAATACTTTCCATCCACCCCCGCCATCATATCAAACAATACAAACGTTGATACTGAACAAAACTTGAAAGAGTAAACAAGTGGTAGTTATCAGGAGGGGTTTTGAGGAGATTTTAGTAATTTCAATAGTTGAAATCATCAGTCAACTGAAGCTAGGTCCTGGGTTCAAATCTTGCTACGGGGGGGGGCGGGATCGTAGATGCGCACTGCTGAGGAGTACCATACTAGGACGAAACAGCCATCCAGTGCTTTCAGGTTTTACATGGTGATCTAGCTTTAATTGATTCATGATCTCAACTATTGAAATGGTAGTTAGTATTATCACTAAATGAAAGACCAAATAAACTGTTAAGTAATAATGTTTTAAAGACTACATGAGTTCAAATCTTTGCACACCAGTAATTTATTCAGAAGTAAAGCTAAATCTCTATGATAAATACCAACCAAGAATAGCTGTGATCTGTGGCTTATCCTTGATAGTTTCCAACCATCATACACCAAATGAAGTGTATCATCAAGTCGAACCATTATGTTTGATTAATATATTATACATTTAATGTATAGAATTCAATCTGTACACTAAATATAGAACAAAAGAAAACTGATTATTAAATAGTTACCGATTCGTAATCAGAGAAGAATGAAACAAGAATTACTGTATTTGTCTATGACTTGTGGCGCATATATCTATTTGTTGCCTCCTTGTACCAATGTTTTTGTGTTTAAATAAATAAACTTGATAGTTGAATTCATGAGTCAATTGAAGCTAGACCATCATGGAATACCTGAAAGCATTGAACAGTCGTTTCATCCTAGTATGGTACTCCTCAACAGTGCACAATCACAATTCCGCCTCATGAGATTCGAATCCAGGATCTAATAGTGTCACTGAAGGGAGTACCAAAGAAGTACATCAACCTTATAAAGGCTCTCTACTCGAACACAACTGGTCGAGTGAGAGCTTATGGTGAACTGTCATCAGTATTGATTACCTCAAGTGGTGTTCGTCAGGGCTGTCCACTCTCTCCATTCTTGTTTGACTTTGTCGTTGACGTCCTTTTAGAGATGACACTTTCCTCATCTAAATTTCCAGGAGTTGAACTTCTACCGGGAGATCCACTTGTTGACTTAGAATATGCCGATGACACAGTTCTATTTAGTGAAGACGCTGACAGAATGCAGAGTCTGCTGACCACTCTAAGCAACAATGCAAGCATGTTCGGCATGCGATTTTCTCCCTCAAAATGCAAAGTGTTGCTTCAGGATTGGGTTGCGTCGACACCCGAACTAGTGATAGGGAGTGAAGTAGTTGAGCGTGTCGACCGCTTTACTTATCTCGGAAGTCTCATCAGCCCTTGTGGTTTGGTGTGTGACGAAATCTCAGCACGGATACAAAAGGCTCGACTAGCTTTTGCTAACTTGCGTCATTTGTGGCGTAGTCGAGATATCCGTCTATCAAACAAAGGACGTGTTTACTGTGCAGCAGTTCGTTCCGTCCTACTTTATGGCAGTTAAACATGGCCAGTAAGAGTAGAGGATATTCGTAGGTTACTAGTATTTGACCATAGGTGTCTTCGAAACATTGCTCGTATATCCTGGGACCACCGAGTAAGTATTGCAGTTATTAGGAAACGGATACTAGGTAAGGATGGCAAATCAATTGATGAAGTAGTGAAACTTCATCAGTTGAGATGGCTTGGACATGTGTTGCGCATGCCCGACAACCGACTGCCCCGACATGCGATGTTTTATGGTGTAGGAATAGGTTGGAAGAAAGCTAGGGGCGGCCAGACCAGAACATGGCAGAAATCCATGAAGTCATTGACAAGTGGACTGAGCCGTTTTAGTAGGTGTAGACTACTTGGTTGGGGACCGCGAGATGATAGCAACCGATGGTTAGAGACCTTGAATGACATGGCTGAAAATCGTTTGCAATGGCGCAGGTGCATCCACTCTTTGTGTTCTCTCAAACTCTAATCTTCTGAATTCTTTATGTCTGTTATTTTCTTTCCGAATCTATTCCACTGGACTATACTCCTTTAATAACATCATCAAACCTTAATGTCCCCTATCTGTACTTATACTTTCAGTACCTCTACCACTATGGGATTTGAATCGATAACTGAATCTCTGTGCTAATGTGGTATGGCAACTCGAACTGATGTACGTACGTACGAAGTTCCACGTTGTTACTGACTGACTGAATAGTGTCGCGTGCGAGTGCTTAACCACTAGACCACTGAGCATTCAACGGTACTAATGTCCAACTTCAACCAATCCATGAAGTTGAGAGACACATCCACCATTGTCTTCAATAAGTTACTATCTTACAACAGACCCAGTTAACTCTACTAGTCATTTTTATAGAATAAAAACACTTCTATCATACACTTTAATCGAAGCTACGTTTACATCATTTACCAATGCTTATTACAAGAAGTTAGACATTAACACCGTTGGATGCCGGCTCAGTGATCTAGTTGGTTAAGCGCCTGGCGCGAGACTGATAGGTCCTGGGTTCGAATCCCGCGGGGCGCGGGATCGTGGATGCGCACTGCTGAGGAGTCCCATACTAGGACGAAATGGCCGTCCAGTGCTTCCAGATTTTCCATGGTGGTCTAGCTTCAATTGATTCATGATTTCAACTATTGAAATATACTCTTAATTATTATTATTTTTCTTTCTTTTCTTTATTATTTTAGCCATCAGGATGGTTAGATGCCTCTACATTTATTAATCTTACATCATCTAATGCTGCACATTATTTAGGTTTATATCCATATAAAGGATGTTTATATCCTGGTTCAGATGCTGATTTCATTTGTTGGTCATATAATAATATAACTCATTGTACCATTCAATATCCATCTATAGTTATTCATCATGGGAAATTATTAGTATACAATGGTAATCTTATAAAAGATATAAGTAGTATTAATAATAATAATAATAATAATAATGATTTAAAAATGATACCATGTAATCATCTGAATGAAATTCAATCCAATCAACCACTTGGAATATTAAAAACAGGAAAATTATTCCCTTCTACTATTTATGATTTAGTTCATGCATTTGAAAGAGTAAGTGATTAGTTTAGATAGAATAAATTGATTTCATTTAAAGAATAATAAAATAAACAATAACATATTAAGATATAATCAAAGAGAGGTTTTGTGAATATTATAATAATTTATTAATTGAATTCATGAGTCAATTGAAGATAGACCTGAAAACATTGGACGAATGTTTCGTCCCATTGTGGGACTCCTCAGTAGTGAGCACTCACAATCCCGCCTTGCGGGGCTCGAACACAGGACCTTCAGTCTTGTACGTAAACATCAAACTTCTAGATCACTGGGACGGTATCCAACGGTGCTAATGTCTAACTTCAACCGATCCACGAAGTTGCGCCATTGTTCACTATTATCTTCCATGAGTTACTTTCTCACAACAGACCTGGCTAAACTCTACTGGTCATGACTTCTCATTAGAACTCCAGAAAATACCTATTGAATACCGTCACTAGTGATGGTATAGTACATAACGTGACACCAACCAACGCCGTTGGTAGTTAATTCCATTATTCTCAATGTAGTTGAATTTCATCAAATAATAAATTCTCAATATAGCACAAGGAATCCATTCTCTATCCAGCAATTATTCAGCACATGATTAATGTTTACATGAAATGTTTGTAAAGATTCGTTTAGACTGAAGTGATGAAAACCAACTTCCATAAACTTCTCAATCACGTACAGAAAAAGTAATCTTGCCTCAGATCTAACTTTTTAAAAAAAGAAGTACTTGATCTTTATCAATATTCAACAATCCTGATATGTTTTTGATTTAAGATGTAGATATCACTCAATTGATTATCAGTGAAATGAGTGTTTATATCAATAAATATCCTCCAACCCTTCATGTAATTGTTTTCATCCATAAGGTCTTTAGTAACTATGAAAAGTATTGAAAACATTTAGTTCAATCCCTATGTGAAAGAAAAACTCTTAGAAATCTAATAGATTTTATGTCATACTTCGAGTGGATAATTGTTTACTCTGTAACTGAATATACTATTCTCCCAGAGATAACCACAGTTCATATAAGCTTGTAAATACTCTTATTTCCCCGTGAATTAAGAAACCTTGAAATAAAGCTTCTTCAACCAATTGTGATTACATCTCAGTCCTACAGGAGGTCGGTCGCGGCCCGGATAGCTCAGTGGTAACGTCTCTGACTGTGAAGCTGGGTGACACGGGATCGAATCCGTCAGGGAGCACCAGTTCCCTCAAAGATTACAGGTACACCTTGCTGACGAGTGCCAAGTAGCACGAAACCCGGATCCAGGGTTTCCTGTCGACTACCTCCAAACACCATCTAATCTCACAATAGTGCCCGCAGTGTCAAGTCACCTAGACTGGTGGCCACATTGCAACATGACCGATAGCATTCGATCTGCACTAATAATAAGGACTAGACACGCATGACATTGGTCACCACCCAGTGATCAATCAATTGTGAAGCTTCTTCTTCTACTACTTTGTGCCTTTGTTAGCCTTTTAATTTGATTATAATTAGATTGTATGATAATGTTATTGAAATATACATCCTAGCTATTCTCATATATAATTATTGACTTAAATCATGTTATGAATAAAGCAATAACATGAGTCAAATAAGAGAATGAATTTCGAATACGTATATTTCTTACACTCGTTGATCTTGAAGAACATTCAGAATCAAAAGCGGGAAAGTAAAGCAAAGCGGAGAGTGTTGTTGATAGAACAGAAAGCAAAACGAGGCGAGTGAGTCAACTCGATTTGAGCAAGTGTAACTCAATATTTATAATCAGACAAAAATAAGCTATAGACATGTTACGAGTAGAATGAGCAATATACACACATACGCTCTTACAAAAGCAGTCAAAGTGAATAAACGAATAATTAACAAAGTCAAAATGTGACACAACACAAATGAATAGACTAATATGGGCTTAACATAATACTAGACATTACTCCTTTCCTCGATTGTTCAAATCTCAAGTGTGGAAGAGTTCTAGTGATTCAGGAAACAGTTACGAAGTCAATATCAAGCGTTTTAGTTGTGGATCTATCATTTCTACGCATGCATAAATAATATACACAACATATTAGCCTCATATATTGACATTCATTGAATTAATGTCCAATTACTGGATAATCTAAAGTAACAAACATAAACATTCATTTGGATAGCAAGATTATTTTAACTTATATTAGATACTTGTTAGGAACTGTTTTCATCTGGTGCACATCACAATGTATAGAACAACCTAGAACGATCTAGTTTAGGACTCTTCAGCAATGAATAATCAAAATGATATTTTCTTTTCATTACTATAGAATGCCCTGGTACGGCCGAGAGTGGGGAGAGTCCGCTCTCCCTCTTGAAATGCTCTCACATGGCCACGCGTATACAGCCCCTGCCAGGGAAGTCCTACTCACTGACTTCTCGTGGCATTAATGTTGTTTACGAAAATGAGAGGACGAAAAGTGAATGTCCGGCGCTTTAACCGGATCCCAGATCAACGGTGCACATGGGCTGGCTCCAGTATCCTGAAGGAACAAATGGCGTATGAACCAATCGTTGGTCACCGGCTACCATGGGACTGCATCTCCTTACGATGCTCCACTGTCTTGTGGATCAGACGTTCAGGTCGAAGGCTCGGGGTGTGGCTCCCTAAGAAAACCACCTGGTTCGGTTTGGGCACCCGGGCAGTATCACAGCCCTCACACAAATCAATTGAGATTCGTGTGGTGCATATGTATTTGGTACCTCCTTGTACCAATATCTATGTGTTAAAATAAATAAATAAAATAAATACTATAGAAATGTTACTTTTTCTTCTTCTTTTTCAAATCATATAAATTAACTCATTAGTTACGTAAAACAAATCAAATCCCTGTTATTCGTGAACCTTGGACAATGAATGATTTAAGTGGAGAATTAACAACAATTTCAAAAATAACAAACAATCATGATAATAATAGTAGTAATAATAATAATGAACAAATGAAAGATGCAAATCTTCAACATTTAATGACAATGCCAATTAACATACGTACAATACGTGGTAATCGAGATTTACATGCTTCAGGATTTTCATTAAGTGGTTAGTTGTTAAAATTCATGTTTGTTTGTTGTTTTTTTTCTTCATTATTTTGAAATAGTTGTATGTTTAATTGTATTTGATGGTAAAGCTTGTAAAAGTATATCAGTCGTCATAGTTAGCTCAAAAATTTGTCAGGAACTTATACTACCGAACAAGTAATGCAGTAGTTAAGAAACGGGTACTAGGTAAGGATGACAAATCAATTGATGAAATAGTGATACTTTATCAGTTGAGATGGCTGGGACACGTGTTACGTATGCCCAAACATCGACTGGAGTAGGTTGGGCGGTCAGACTAAAATATGGCACAAATCCATGAAGTCACTGACAGGTGGAGTGAGCCATGTTGGTAGGTGTAGACTAATTGGTTGGGGTCCGCGAGACGATAGCAAACGATGATTAGAGATCTTGAGTGACATGGCTCAAAATCGTTTGCAATGGCGCAGGTGCATCCACTCTTTGTGTTCTCCTAAATTCTAATGTTTTGAATTCTTCATGTCCCGTTTTTCCTCTTTCCAAATTTATTTCACTAGACTATACTCCTTGAATAAGATCTTCAAACCCTAATCTTTCCGATTATTGCTTATACTCTTACTACCTCTACCACTACGGGATTTGGATCGACAATTGTATCTCTGTGCTGATGTGATATGGCAACTGATGTATGTACGTACGAAGTTCTATGTTGTTGCTGACTGACTGACTATTACCTATCGTTCGTTCTCACGAAATGAATGGCTAGTTTTTTTTTACAATTCCCTAACATAGCAAGAAGAAGTCATTTATTTTATTGGTTAGCGATACTTTTTTCGGATAATTTAAACATTGCTCTACCTAACGGGGTTCGGTAGTTCCCAAAGTAGTTGTTAAGGTTCTGGAACCTCTAAGTTAATGATTGAAAGCATAATACCAGTTTTCCCCTATTACCACTACTGATACTGTTATACTACTTCTGCTAAACTGATATTTGCATCGCATCTCGCTGTACTAGTGTGATATGGCAACATGAACCGACGCACATGTGTACCAGGTGCTACATTGTAGGCTCATTGTCATTTCGGAGGACTGTACAGTAAAAACACTTGCTCCTCATATATGGTAAAACACATGCAAACTTGGTATTTTATCAATCTCCCGATATTCTAGCTACAAACTGATAGAAAGTAAGCGAAGCCCTTCATATTAAACTAGGTTTTTAGTAGGTATTCGGATATTTCCAATAATCTCATACAAATGAGAGAATTCTGTGGTGATAACGATAGAAACATTGGATGAATCATAATGTAATGTTTCGATAATCATAGTGGGATAATAGGACTACTCATTTTTATCAGATCAGGAATATGCAGTAAGCTTGTTTTGATATTTACACCGTCTCTATAAATGTGATGGAGCTCCACCGTATGTAGGTGAACATACAATGTGACTTCAAATTTTGCCGCTGTTTCCAGAATGCACTGAAGCTTGTGACTCATTGTCTTAGGGTTAAGTGTTTATATCAATAATTTAATTTTCTACCAACTGTGTAAATCGTTGCATTCGAAGATCTTTTAAATAAATATCCTTAGAAAATTTACTCATTTTAAATGGTTGGGTATGGAGTAGCAACCAGTTTAATATATGTCTAATCCTTACAAATGATAGAATCCTATCGACTCAGCATGCAATGTAACAAATACTCTAAACAACTTGAAATCACAATGGATTAAATAATGGTTGGAGCTAATTCTAGTTTTAGGAATATAAGTTGTTTGTCGGATTTAAACTTGTATTGAAGTTAAAGATCAATCATGACCCGGGTCCGAATCCTACAGGTGACCTCAGTTCAGTCGAGACTGCAGGTATACCATACTGACAAGCGCCAACTACCAGGAAACCTAGGTCAGACAGGATTTCCTGTTGACCACTTTCCACCACTTAGAAAAGCAAACAGAGCTTCCTATCAATCGCTGCTTATTTATCATTTTATTCACATATATTCTATTTTCATTTGAATTTTTTTCTATAAAAAAACAACAAAGGAGCTCAAGTTGACGATGATCAACCAATAAGATCAACAATTCGTACACAACAACAAAGTGAAACAAGAAATCCGTTGTGGTAAACAGGCCACACACACACACACATAAACACTTACATACGTACATATAACATTTATTCACCTTTTTTTCTCACAATTGGTCACTATTCATCATTCATCCATTCTAATTACGCACCTCCACCACCATCATCATCATCATGATCGTCATTATAAACACATTTTAATCAAAATATTAACTCTCTTCATTATATACACATATAAATTTAATATGCAGTTTTGATAAAGTACATTACATACATACAAAAAAAGTACTACAGTACTACTATTACTACTACTACTACTAATAATAATAATGTTAAATTTGAGTATTCTGACATAATGGATAAATGGGATCGTTTTTAAATTTTAATTTTCTTTCTGTTATTGTTTTCACCGAGAAAAATTGGGGGATGGGGGAAACGACGTAACAATGAATGTATGTTTATATACAATAATGGTAAGACAATATAACAGTTCTAATAGTAAAATAATAATAATGATAATAGTGTAGTCATTCAAACTAAATTTAAAGAAAGAATAAAGAAGACTTCAAAAACTTCGACTTGGATCAATAAGTAACACCAAGAATAATAAACGTTGAATAGATTCATGGAAAAGTAGGAAAAAATAGCAATAATCGTCTTTGTGTAGTCATTCTAACTGATTTTAATGGAAGAACAAAAAAGACTTCAAAAACTTCGACTTGGATCAATAAGTAACACCAAGAATAATAAACGTTGAATAGATTCATGGAAAAGTAGGAAAAAATAGCAATAATCGTCTTTGTGTAGTCATTCTAACTGATTTTAATGGAAGAACAAAGAAGACTTCAAAAACTTCGACTTGGATCAATAAGTAACACCAAGAATAATAAACGTTGAATAGATTCATGGAAAAGTAGGAAAAAGTAGTAATAATCGTCTTTGTGTAGTCATTCTAACTGATTTTAATGGAAGAACAAAGAAGACTTCAAAAACTTCGACTTGGATCAATAAGTAACACCGAGAATAATAAACGTTGAATAGATTCATGGAAAAGTAGGAAAAAGTAGTAATAATCGTCTTTGTGTAGTCATTCTAACTGATTTTAATGGAAGAACAAAGAAGACTTCAAAAACTTCGACTTGGATCAATAAGTAACACCAAGAATAATAAACGTTGAATAGATTCATGGAAAAGTAGGAAAAAATAGCAATAATCGTCTTTGTGTAGTCATTCTAACTGATTTTAATGGAAGAACAAAAAAGACTTCAAAAACTTCGACTTGGATCAATAAGTAACACCGAGAATAATAAACGTTGAATAGATTCATGGAAAAGAAAAACAACAAACATCTTTGTAGTCTATTTTAAGAAAATGCTGCTGACATTTACAACTAATAATAATAATAATAATAAGGCACATTGAATAAATAAACATATCGTATCAAAATACATGGAATCATATGAGTGAAGGCACCGAGTCAACGAATAATTGAATAGTAATAATCGTACAAAATAAAATATTGTATATAAAAACGAATATAATGAATACTACTAAGAATAGGTAGTAGTGTGTTTATAGTGACAAATAAATGCACTAGAAAAATATCCCAAAAGATTTGACAAAACTGAATTGAAATAGTGAAATTATAAAAAAAAAATACAATACAAAAACAAAACAAAACAAGAACTCAGTAGCATGAAATGCAATGCATCATTCTTCCTCCCTTCCTCTTTTCTTATCTTATGCCTGTTACTCCCAATGGAGCACAGGCTGCCGATAAGTATTCTCCAACCCTCCCCCCCCCGCCGATTGTTTTATTCAACATAGAAAGTAAAACAAAAATGCAAACTATCAATAATAATTGTAAAAATAAAAAAAACAAACAAAAAAAAGAATAAAGTATTCGATAATCTCTACTTATTTATATAAAAACTTATCTAATGAGCAAGCGGTCAATTGAACTGTAACATTATTTGATAATGAAATAGGAATGGTCTTACTATTTGACTCATCAATATGATTATTATTAATAGCTATTGTTGAAGATCTTGAAATTGAATGATTATTGTCATTTTCTTTTTTATTTGTACTATTATTACAACTATTAGCGGTACTATTACTATTACTATTATTATTACTAATAGTATTAGTAATAGTATTAGTAGTAGTAGTAGTAGTAGTAGTATTTTTATATTGACTAGAATTACTATTACTATTACTATGACTATTGACTAGAGCTAAACCGGTCATTGCTGTATTAATGCCAAGACTTGTATTAGCTGGTTGATTTTCATCAATATCATCTGAATCAATTTCATCATCCGTTGTATCCTCTTCATCGATGTGAATATTTCCTTGTTCAATAAAATGATGTGTTTTTATACAATTTGGATTATTTGTTGATTGTAATAATGAAGTGTTAATAAGAGTACTTGAAGAAAACTGATCAATAACACGAGGTAATTTTGATGGAGAACACAATGTTACTGTTGTTTTTGTTTTTGTCTCTGATGCTGTTGTTGTTGTTGTTGTGATGATGATGATGTGTTTTTAGTTGAATTACTACTCGCTGATAAACAATAATTCTCATTATTATCATCATCTAATTCAGTAGTCAACGGTGGATGACTAATTGACTTAATTAATATTTGTTGATTATTACCTAATAATCTTGTTTCTTTCAACTTTTTCTTATGATTATTATTATCATTGAAAGAGTTTTCATGCTCATGAATTGAATGTAAAGTAGAATTGGAAGATAATGATGAAGTAGGCCCAAGTGAAAATCGTGAACTTGGTCGAACTTGATGAGAATAATGTTGATAACGATGATCAGTAGTATGTTGTGATAAAAATTGTTGACAACTTTCTGAAATTCGATCAATATCATTATTATGTTGAAGAATTTTTACAGTGATATCCTTTCTTTTCGCTTCATTTGATTCAGTAGTCAAATCAATACTAGAAGTAGTGGTAACAGTGAACATTGGTTTATTGCAAATCTCTTCTCGATTAAGTGAGACATAAGGTAAAGAAGAAGCATCAATATAATTGATAGAATTCTCCGTTTTACTTGGCATTAATGTTCTTGTAAGAGGTGTGGCTTCTTTAGATTTTCTAGTATTTCTGTTATTTGTTTCTATTTTCTTCATTTGTTTAGTTGAAGAATTTGCTGTCTATAAAAATAAACGAATTAAATATTATTATTAAAATGTTGTCAATCAGATTACGTTGATCAATAGTCAAATATTTACCTCTAACAGCACTCAAGACCACTGTATTCATAATCAGCCTACCTCTTCAATTCCTATTATTCCTCTTACATCGACTTTCAAATCTAAACTCCCTCTTTCGGCTTCCTCCTCAAGTGTCACCATAGCCAACGATTCTAGTGCGCAAAACACTGTCCCAGGTCTACTGAAACCTCGCTCCAAACTACACATTGGAGCCTTCAATGTACGCACACTATGCCAAATCGGTCAGCAGGCTTCCTTGGCTAAAACCTTAGAATCTCGTACGATTGATGTATGCTGTGTCTCCGAAACACGCATACAGGATCCTAGTGTGGTCATTCACTTGACCTCACCTCGGCAAAACAAAGTGCCGACTAGATACACCCTCCGTATATCTGGCGACCCGATGGCTAGTTCTCGTGGACTGGCAGGTGTAGGCATAGCACTAAGCATGAGGGCGGAACAAGCGCTATTAGAGTGGATCGTCTATGCGCTGTTCGGCTAAACGGCTCCGTAAGAACTCGAAAGGATAGGGACACACGTCGTTGCCTTTTCGTCGTTTCTGCCTACGCTACCATTGACTGCAGTTCGGATGAAGTGAAAGATGAATTTTACAGAAAACTCTCTGAACTTCTTCAGAAAGCTAAACGTTCAGACATAGTACTCGTAGCAGGCGACTTTAATGCCCAGGTAGGTAGCTTAAACGAAACAGAAAGACATTTAGGTGGGTATTTTAGTATTCCGGCACAGAGAACAGATAATGGTGATCGTCTGCTGAAACTTTGCTCAGACAATCGTTTATTTTTAGTAAACACAAATTTTAAACATAAGGAGAGACACCGTCTAACATGGCGACCCCCTGCACCTAATCAACGATGGACTCAAATAGACCATATTGCCATCAGTCATCGTTGGAGAGGGTCAATAGAAGATTGTCGCTCATTCTGGAGTACCTGCTTGGACTCCAACCATGCCCTAATACGAGCACGCATTTGCTTGCGCCTCACTGGACGCAAAAAAGCCACATTAAAAAGACTCATTAGAACCGAATTGAGTAATGAGAAAACCAAAAGTAGGTTCCAGGAACAACTGAGGTCACACTTAGGTAGTTCTGAAAACAAGGCTGACCCAGATGTTGCTTGGAAAGTTATACAAGCAGCTGTGGAAACAGCAGTGACATCTACTAGTGATTTAAACCAAATAGTTACAAAGAACCAATGGATTTTCTTCAAGGTCTATTGCACTGATAGATTCTCGCAAACTCATCCCATTAGGTTCTGAACACGATGAAGAGCGTAAACAAATCAGATCTAGGTTAAGCAAAAGTCTAAGGAAAATCGTGAGCAGTGGTGGGCAACGAAAGCAAAAGAGATGGAAAAGGCGGAGGCTATAGGGAACACAAGACAGACTAATAAAAGAAACTGGAATTAATAAATCAAGTGTAAGTCAGACTATTTCGGAAAAAACCAACACTCATCTGCTCCCAGTCCAGACGTTTAGAACGATGGGCGGAACATTTTAAGGAGAAGTTCAGTTGGCCTTCAGCTACTCTACAACTACCCTCTATTCCCAGACAGTATGAATGGAACATTGAAGTAGGTCCCCCAACTCTAGCTGAAGTTCAAAAGGCTATAGCTAATCTGAAACGAGGAAGGGAAGCTGGTCCAGATGGATTGGCCCCAGAGGTCTTTAAGGATGGTGGTCTAGTTTTAGCGATTAGGTTGACTAATATTTTAGCTAAAATCTGGGAGTTAGACGTTATCCCATCTAACTGGTCACAATCACTTATTGTCCCAATATTTAAGAAAGGGTCAAAATCATCCTGTGACAAACATAAAGGGATTAGTTTAACTAATATAGTATCTAAAATACTAGCTTTGATAATTTTCGGACGCCTAACTAAGACTCGTGAACTGCAAACACTTGAAAATCAGGCTGGCTTCAGATCTGGTCGTGGCTGCATCGATCACATATTCACCATTCGTCAGGTTCTACAACACAGGCATACGTATCGGCGTCCGACAATAGTGGTCTTCCTTGATTTAAAAGCAGCGTTTGACTCTGTTGACCGAGAGGTTCTGTGGCAG